GCACATACAAGTTTTGCTGAAAAGAACTTTAAAAATGATTACAGCATTACCTAGACAGGGAGCTGCCAGAAATTCAAACTGGATTCTGAAGCGGATGTGGAACAAGGAATATCATTGCTAGGGTCAGATGGATCCTGGCTGAAAGTAGAAAATGCCAGAAAGATGTTTCCCTCTGTTTTATTGATTCTACCAAGGCATTCAACTGTGGGCTCATAAGAAACTATGGATAGCTTTGAGAAGAATGGGAATTCCGAATTATTTCATTCTACTCAGGCGGAATCTATACCTAACCCAAAGGCAGTCGTTCAAGCAGAATGAAGGGTTCGTGCATGGTGTAAGATCTGGAAAGGTGTGAGAGTCAGGGTCGGATCCTTTCACCATGCTTATTCAACTTGTATGCCGGGAAAATCATCAGAGAAGCTGGACTATCTGAAGAGGGAGGCGGCGGCAGGCTTGGAGGAAGACTCGTTAACCACCCGTGACACACAGCTGACACATTTTTGTGTGGGTTTGTTTGTTATTGTTAAAAGCATAGAAGACTGGAAGCACTCACCGATGGGGAATAGACTATAAAACCTTCCGTAGGGATTACACCTCACAATCAAGACACAAAAATCCTCACAGCCAGAGCAATGACATCCCAATAAATGGAGAAATGGTTGCGGTTGTGAAGGCCTTTGTTTTAGTTGGATCCACCGTCAAGGCCCATGAAAGCATCCATCCATAAAAACACCATCACACCGGACAGACATGCAAACTACCTCTTCAACGTGTCAGAAAGCAAGACGTCACCTTGAACACTACGGTGCACATGACATGACCGTGCTATCTTCCATCGCCTCATGCACATGCATATGCATCCGGACAATGAACCAGACCAGAAGACCGGATCCTTTGAATCATGGTGTTGGTGAGGAATCTTGCATATACCGTGGACTGCCAGAGAATGAACAAACCTGTCTTGGAAGAACTACGGCCAGACTGTTCCTTAAAGCAAGGACTTCATCTCACATACTGTGGGGAGGTCATCAATAGTTCCTAGAGAAGGGTGTCATGCACAATAAAATACAAAGTCAGCTACAAAGACAAAGACCCTTCCTGAAATGGCTCGATCCGGCAGCGCAGCGAGGGGCTCCCTCAGAACCAGGATGGGGAGGATGGTGCCAGGACCAGGCTGGGTTTTGTCTTCTTGTACCAGGAGGCTCCAAAAAGTTGGTGGGAACATAGAATGAAAAGTGAAGGGAATTTCCCCGAAAATTTTTGAATCCCCCTATCATAAGAACAATGAACAAGAACAACTTTGTGTCTTGTCCACATTTTTTTTGAGGTCTCAAAAGTCATTAAGTTTAAGATACACCAATACATATATCCTACCGGACTAACATAACAAACACATCCTGTTCCCCAAGGGGATTGCATCCATAGGCGTAGGAGTTAGGATTCCATTCTATTTAGGAGTGTGTTTGTGTGTGTGTGTGTGTGTGTGTGTGTGTAGGGGGGGTGTTACACAGTTTAATGCACAACAGAAAGCTTTGTATATCTGGGGGAGGTTGCAAAAACACCTTTTGGATCCGACATGCTGGGCATCGTCATCGATTGAAGATTGCTTTCACTTCATTTCGGCTTGGTGAGTGCTTCCCTTGGGGAGGACTTGGGCTGACCCTTCCTGGTTCTCCGTGTTCCCTGAGTGGGAGCGCCCACTGAGGATGTTACTTCCAGAGTCGGGTGGAGGACTCTTGAGCCGTAACGTCCTTCACGCCAATGTTTCGGGAGCAAGCACCCAGGTTAGTGGAAGTACAGAACGTTCCACTCTCCTGCGAGTACGGTTTGGTTTCATACCTCCTCATTTACCTTTCTGCCCTGTTGGCTTGGTAGCATTCAGAACCAACTCCTTGGCAGTGGGTGGTTGTTAGGGTGCCATCGAGTCGATTCTGCCTCCTGGGGGCATATCTACAAAAGAAGAAAACTCTGCCCATTCATCCCCCATCATCCTCACAATCGTTACCTTTGAGCCCCTGGTTGCTGCCACAGTGTTCATCCAGCTCCTTGACAGCCTTTCTCTTTTTTGCTGCCCTGCTACTTAATCAAGCATGATGTCTTTCTCCTGCTAACATGTCCAAAGCACGTGAGACAGAGTCTCCCCATCGTTCCTGCTAGAGAGCATTCGGGCTGTACTTCTTCCAACACCGAGGCATTTGCTCTTCTGGCAGCCTCTGGTGCTGTTGGTGTTCTTCGACAACGCCATGATTCAAAGGCGTCCATTCTTCCTGGGTCGTCGTCATTCACTGTCCAGCCCTCACCTGCATGGAGGCCACCGGCACTACTATGGCTGGGGCCAGGCTCACCTTGATTCTTCCAGTGACAGACATGCTCACCTGAGAGAGGTCTCGCTCGGGCAGCAGATTTGCCCAGTGCAATGTGTCGTCCGATTGCTTAACTGCCGCTTCCGTGGTTGAGCGGTGGTTACAGATCCAAGCAAAATTAAATCCTCGACGATCTCAATCTTTTCCCTGGTTGCCCTGTTACCTGCTCACCCGGTTCTGAGGGCTTGGGGCTTCCTTCCACCGAGCGGCAGTCCACACCGAAGGCCCAAGCCCTTGGTCTTCATCGCAAGCTTCAGGTCCTCCTCCCTTTCAGCAAGCAAGGTTGTGTCATCTGCATATCACAGGCTGTTAATCAACCGTTCTCTAACCCTGCTGTGCGGTCATGCCTCGACTGAACTGATATTCACTGCTGGCCTGTAATGACACACTGAGGATGAAGACACGGGCTCTTAACACGTGGTCTAAGGCAGGGGAAAGTGATGGCCGTAGTGGCTCGGTGGGAGCAAGCTCACCTCTCAGGTGGAAGAACCAGGTTCAATTCCTGGCCAGTCCGCCTCATGCATAGCCTCCCTCCCTGTGTGTATGGAGGCTGGTGATCAGCGATGGTGCTGAACAGGTTTCAGCAGAGTTTCCAGACGAAGAGCCTGCGAAGAAAGGCCTGCTGCTCTCTTTCCAAAACCTCAGCCAATGAGGACCCATCCGGCTTGGGGGCAGTGCAGGACAGGACCGCATTCGCGTCCTTGGCAGTGGCCTTGAGCCAGGGCTGAATAGTTGTAGGATACAGCCCCAGAGCTAGATAGGTGTCTGGCAGATAGGTTCCAAGCCCCTCCTAGATGACTTGCAGCATCTACGTATATCTTCTCCTGCTTTTCCATCACTCTTGGCCTGTCTGGGCCCCAGAATGAGGTGTGGGGAAGTCAGGGCCTCTTCCCAAAGGCATTGGGCTCTCACCTAGTGCCTGCTCTCAGAAGTTAAGAGCCCCGCCCTGATGAAAAGTATACTTCTGTGGAGCGGCAATGACTTTTCAAGACGGCATTGTGGTGGGGGCCTAAGACTGGGCGGTCCAGGTTTCGGGATGAATGGCTTGTATTGTCACCCAGGGAGCGTGGAACATCATGTCCTCCTCTCTGCTCATGTGCATTAGCAATGTGGGGAGCCTGCCCCTCCAGCTCTCCTTCCTGGCGAATCCATTATGACAGCTTCCAAGAGGAAATCATCTCGGGCCCCGCCTTGTGCTGAAGTGATTTGAATCTGCAGAAGGTGGGATTGCATGTCCCCACTGGCCCCAGAGTCACCGGAGCTGGCAGGCTGGCCTAGGCGTGGGGCCGCCGGTGTCTGCCTTAGGAGAAAATATTCTCCATGCGCCTCCCCCCGGCGCCCCCCCCCAACCTCGTCTGCTCTCTCTTCACAGCCAGCGATGGGGATTACTGGCGCCTCCTGAACCCGGGCGAGTACGCGGTCACAGCCAAGGCGGAAGGCTTCACGGCCTCCACCAAGGACTGCCTGGTGGGCTATGACATGGGGGCCACGCGCTGCGATTTCACGCTCAGCCAGACCAACCTGGCCAGGATTCGGGAGATCATGGAGAAGTTTGGCAAGCAGCCTGTCATCTTGCCAGCCAGACGGCTGAAGCTGCGGGGCCGCAGGAGACGACAGCGCTGGTGAGCAGCCGACACTGGCCGATGCTGACCCGCCTGGCTGTGCCCGGGAGGAGGTGTGTGGTGCCAGGCACTCCCCCCGCCCCCCCCCCAACCCCCGGAGGCCAGGTGAAGGGCTGAGATTTTCTTTTCTTTTTTTTTTTAATCGTTTTATTAGGGGCTCAAACAACTCTTAATCACGATCCATACACACATCAATTGTGTAAAGC